CAAAGAAATGCTACGGTCTCAAACCAGGCTTCCCCACCCGAGCCATCCTCCTCCCAACCAACAAGTTCGGACTAGGCCTGGGATCCCTCCTGCCCGAATACGTACGACACGCCGGCCGGACCCTTGTACAATCACTGAACGACAATGGACGCCTTGGCATAATCACACAAGCACTGCTCTGCTATCAACATGCCGTCATGGGAACCCTCCCCGTGTACGACATACGGAAAGAAGGTAGATTCTACACAACCCTGAAACGCCTTAGCCTCCTTAAAGACAACGGCCTAGAGATTACAAAGATGGGCAGCAATCTCGCCCCTGCAGTGAATACCATCTTCCTGGCAATCCAGCGTACAATGCCGCAAAACACCCCCGACGCAACCCTCCCACTGCGGCTCCTCCTACCCCTCACAGAAATAGGCCTGAACTTCCATGATCTTATAGATAAGAACACAAAGAGACACCTAATCGACACCGACGAACTCGCACGGCTATACACCAAAAGGCGAACCATACAGAACCGACACAAACTAGCCCTCAACCGCCTCAGCATAGCCCTTAACGGACTGCACCCCCACAACCTAGATGCAAGCAACCCCACTCCCGACCCCCGCAAACATAACGACACCAAACCCCTTGCCGAACACCAGCGACGAATCCCCGACATCCCCACCCTGAGTGGCCTGATCCACAACACCGCAGTACCAGCACCCAGACGAACCCTCGCGCCCACCCTCACACCCTTCCTGGTGCATGACACCAACACAAGGCGGGCTACCGGAACAAGGGTAACAGCAACAGCGCACACTGCCACCGCTGACAACGCAGCCGACACGGCAAGACCCACCAGACCACCAGCACGGCGCAAATCCAAACCTGGCGCGCACCGCCGACAACAAGCCTTCATCGATGCCAACACGCGGGTGCACAACACCCAAGTACGAACCACGAACTCGCAATCCCACAGACTCCAGGCGGCCCTAGAAGCAACCGAAGCACGCAATCAAACAACCTGTAGACACGCACAACAATACGCGACAGCCATGTATGCAGACCTCACCCAGGTGTCCCGTAAACTGAAAAAATCTCTCCATGACGCGAAACAGCACCTTACCTCAACGCTCAACCCCCCAACGCACCCCACCCCAGGAGACGGAATGAGACCCAGCCGTCCAATAAGCGCAACCCTGCAAGCCAGACTAGACCAGAACGCTGCCGCAAACCCCACTGAAAACCCAGTGCTGTCTTACCTGCGCAACAAAGCCGACCGCAACATACCGGTCACCACCAACGCAACCCAGCAAAACACGGAGAACATACAACCACAACCTGCACCCGGGGGCCACACGCAAGGTGCAGGGCGCACGGTATCACGTATAATGCAAAAACAAACCCTACACTGGCTGCGAGACAAGGCCGGACCCATAGCCGCACACATCTCCGCCAACCCCCAGGACACAACAGTCGCCAACCAGCTCGTCTACGGCACTTATAATGGGACAGAGAGGGTGCGTAGCATCATAGACGGCCCCTACACCATGCGAGAGATTACCGAGCGAGAGGCCAAAAGAAAAGTAACCAACCGAACCTCAAGCGGATCACAAGACCCCCCCTCGCACGCAGCAAGCGGAACGCATGCACGCTACTATACAGTCGATTGGACACCCACCATCATTACGCCCCTGGCTCTATGCGCATACGAGGCAATGGGCCACCACCCGCGGCTCTGCAGGCCTGCAACACGAGAGCTGGGCAGAGGGGGGGGCAAGCTGCTACGATACGTCGAGTGGGAACCATGCAAAATGCCCGAACGCGACATAGCGATACAGGACGATTGGATGGCCCTACTCATCACCCACAGCGCCAAAAGAGCTAGACGAGACCCCGGCACCAAGCCAGCACCACCGTGTGACCACAGCCTCACTAATGAGCAAAGGCAAGGACACTGGACCCCGCCCACCCCTAAGAAGTTTGAACACGGAAGCCTCACGAGGGCCCACACAACACTCGACGGCAGCCCATGCAACCCGGACAGCGATATTCACCCCACTGGAAAGTACCACATCCAAACCGGAGTGCAACCCGTGTCCCCCCTAACCGGAGGGCCCGCATCAGTGGCAGTACGCAATGAAGGCACCGCCTACATCTACAACCCCAGGGGAATATGCCTGGGCACAATGCCCGCTGCGCGCCTCCTCCTCCTATGGCGGCGCTACCTGCACATGCAAACCTCGCATAGCGAGCTCCACCGCAGCCTCTCAGGAGGCCGCAGCTTTGAGGAAAACGTAGCCCGCCTCCTCCTGCGGAACCAAAGCAATCGGAAACTCAATACTCAACAGAAACCAGCGGGCACACCGCCCAAGCTAATGGAGGCCTTAGGCACCGCCCTCAAACGGGTGAACCCAGAAAGCCCAATCACAGAACGCCTCTGCACACCCCTCACGTGCAGCCCCCTCGCAGAAGCATACTACAGCGACGAAGCGGAAGACCAACTCTTCGGTGCCAACATTGGGGCCCTCTCAACCCCCTTCACCGGAAACACTGTGGCCTACCCAGCCCATGATGCCCCCTCCACCCTCCGAGCAGCCACGTGGGCCATCGCTAGCGCAGAGTGGGCACCCCCAAACACCCTCAGCGTCAGCTTCCTGCTCGCCCCGTGCAAACCGGCCGCCCCGCACACCAAGATCTATGGCACACCATATGCGCGCAGAATTGCCGTGATCCAAGTAACCCACTCTGGCGGTGAACTTCTAACCCCTGCCGCCGGAGAGGTGCCGGGCACCGACCACCGTCCTCGCCCCCGCAAACTGGAAATAATACTAGTCGCCAACAACGCCGGGCTCACCTCTCTGAACACCGAGGCATGGTCCCTCCTGAAGGTGCAACTCAGACGACTCGGCGCCACATCCATCCCAGACGACCTGACCGACGGATCCCGCCGTGACCCAGGCAAACGAATGTACAGCCAAAGAGTACTCCAGAGATTTAAGGAATTTGCTGCCTCCCCACCAGACCCTCCACGCCCAACAGAAAAACTCAACGCCTCGGAAACGGATGCGACACGTAGCCCTGCAGACACCCCTTTCACGAGACGGTACCCGCTGAAGTATAACCCAAATGCAATAATTTACACGGATGGTAGCAAGCTCGAGTGCGAACCAGACGCCGGGGCCCTACATGTACGACTCGGAGCCTCAGTCCACGACCCGCAAGGACGCACTCTACACGTAAACCCCAATGGACACGGAGTAACAATGACTATCCAAAGAGCCGAACTGTCTGCAATCCGCGCAGCCTTGGAAGCTCACTCAGACAGGCCACACCTAATAATCGCAACCGACTCACTAGTCTCAATCCACCTTATCAAACGAGCTATCACAGATCCCTGCAAACTACACATTTCAAAGCACCGCCCCCTCCTAGACAACATCGCACAACACCTAGCGACCAGAGCACGCGAAAACAAGCATACTACCATCCTGAAGGTGAAGTCGCACACAGGCATCACCGGCAATGAGGCAGCTGACCGGGCGGCAACGGCGGCAGCCCGCGGCGAGGTGAACCCCGATGTCACCGAACCGACAGATAACGCTCCATACGACAGGATATGGTGGCTGCGAGACGCTGAACGCAATATGTGTGCGACAGACCTCAACAAAGGCATTCTGAACCTACTCCCCGCCAAAACTCAGAACGGATACACTAACAACACCCAGTACACGGGCCTCTGGGAGGAGCACGGGAAAGACCTCTGCCCCAAAGCCAGCAACGCCGCGTTCACCATGCGAAACGCGCACGCGCTAGTCAAGAGGGCATTTGACGCACGATGGGGCCAGCTTTTCCATGAAGGGCTCAGGCGCCGGTTTAAGATGCGCTCCCGACACCCCACCCGCTGGCACCCGGACACCCCACCCGAGGACCGTGGGCACGGACCCCCCTGCCCCGTATGCCGTAAGGTATGTGACTCAGGGGGCCACATCCTGGGTGGCTGCAAAGACCCGCGAATGCACGGGATGTATTGCACAAGACATGACGGAGCCGTCCGTATTGTAGCGGATGCCATACACAAGGGGCAGCATGGAGGGAGTTACATGGTCATGGACGCGGGAAAAGCAGAAGATCTCCCAGAGTACGTCGCGGGGAAACGTCTCCCCGAATGGCTCCGACCCCCACACACCGAAGCATCAGAGTGGGACAAGATGAGACCTGACATTCTAATCATACAGGGCCTGCCAGCCAGCAATAACACGATGCAGAAACCCCGGAAGCGCACACGAAACCCGAAACCCTACACTATTCACATCCTCGAGATAGGCTACGCGGGAGACCTCAGACATGCTGACAAACAGCATCAGAAGGCCGACCAGCACAAGCGCCTTGCCGAACTACTCAGGGCGGATGGATGGACCGTGCAATACACCACCCAGGAGGCCATCAGCCTAGGAGTAGGAGGCACCATCCGCAAAGACCTTCGAAAAACCCTCATAGACTTGGGAGTCACCCCAAGCAAAGCCACAAAGTGCTGCGAAGCACTTCACCACCACGCCCTTACCCATCTCAACAAGATAATCAGGTGCCGAAGGGTGCTAGAAAACAACCCACGAGCAACCCTCCAAGAGGAGGGATAAGGACACATGCGATCTCTGACCACGTTGACGGTGGTGCTGGCATCCAAGGGCTGACCCCCTTCAGTGCCTCACCCCCTTAATCCACGCCAGGGCTTGCCCGGCGTAACTATTATTATTATTATTATTATTTTTTCGATGATTCCAGTAATTGCTGCAACACATGCTTCATGCAGTGCCTCACCTGTCACATATAGCGCACAGTTGCAAGTGGGCTTGCCAGTAATCAAGTGATTTTCCATAGTATATGCAAATTTGTCGGCAAACAGAAGTGTCTATCCTGGCCTGTGAACTGAGCTGACTGCTGTTTGCTCCACACTGTACGACGTTATTTAAAGTGCAGCCCTAACTCCAACGCCACGGAACCTGGACCCTGTTTTTTTTATTCTCGGTTCGCGAAATTAGCTTCTTGTAACTGTATGTTAGGGGATGCTTCCTTCCACAGACAGCTAGTAATGGAAGCCAAACCGGCAGTCCCAATCCGTATGCAGTCACGTGCGACAAGAAGAAGTATATTTTTGCTGCAGAATTTACGTTGAATTATTGCAAAACGTGCGAAGCTTACGAGTAGCGACAGACGACGGAGCTGGATAGCCCTTAACAGGGCAGCGAGGGCTTGGGAGAATGCCGCTAGCACCAGGTATACAATGCATGGCGTTGGTCTGCGTTAGGATAAGCATTATGCCTATATAAGGGACGCCTTTTGGGCGACGGTCAACATCATTACCCTTCTTCGTCCATCACCACTATTGCGGCCCAGAATGGCAGCATCCATATGTCAACGTGTTCAAAATCTGCGACGCGGAGAGCATGAAGGAGGTCGAAACAAAAGGAGATGTCACGGAGCACATGGTACGCATTGTGTCGTCGCCTTGCGTTCGCAAACCCCGTTACTTCAACCCCTAGAAGCGAAAATGGCCTCATGCACGCCTGTGACAGGACAAGGTCATCGGGAAGAAGGTGTTCAAAGTACGGGGTCTCATCCCGGCTGGGAACTACCTGCGTGTGCCACGCTCTAAGCTGCAGACGTTGGGTCTGACCGGCCGCATCCTTTACATCCAAGTAAGTCGGGTTGGCACTCATAGGGCCGTTGTGCTACTCGTGCAACGTAGGTGCACATGTAGACACCCTTGATTGTGCGTGTGTGATGCATGGGGAGAGCCCTTGCCTGTCCTTTGACACGACTAGGATGTTGCCTTTCTTCCATGCCCCGTAATGGTCTCTTCGGCACCTGCGCTATTGCATTATCCTCTGCACCTGGACAGAACCCTAGCTGCTGCCGATCAGGGCCACCTTAATTTGCCTCGCCCGTGCATGCAGCTCAAGGCCACACCCGTTAAAGTGTTTGTAGTCCACATCGAGGTCGGCACAACAGATGGGAACGTGCACCGGATTTCCGTCAGCAACATGTACGCGCCAGATGCACTCAAGGTAACCTCCTCTATTATTACCGAAAGCTGCAGCACAAAGACCTCCAACAACTTGTGAAGTCCCTCCCGCTGATATTGGCAGTGCCCGTCTCGGCCCAACACCTTGCCGCCACGCAGCGCAAGACCAACGGTGTGCAGCTGCCTTTCCCGCGCCCCAGCCATCGCTGGTGTGTGGCAGCAGTGGACCTGCGAGCTGCGCTGCGCAGCTTCACGTCCTCCGCGTTCGCCTCCATTCGCTCTATCCAAATGTGCTCCTGGCTCACAGTGCGCACCATGTTCACCTCAGACTACAAGTTCTCGCTGGATGTGAGTGTTAAGGGAGGGAAAAAGAAATTCCAAAGGGAGGGAGGTTGGAGGGAGGGAGGGGAAGCGCTGGTGTGGCGGCTTGTGCTTGGGAGGGAGGTTGCCAATATCCTTCCTGACCCAGTTCCTTCGTCCCTGCGCGGTCGTACTATGAGCCAGTGCTCCATAGGTGTGCTGCCATTGCATCTTTGCATGCCTTTGCCTTGCGACTTCCCCGCGACCCCAACCTGCGCCTGCATCTCATCTTACCATCCTTGCAGACCCTGCCTGGGGACATGGCCCTCTCCCACGCTCTGGATACAAGTGTTTTCGAAATGGTGTGGCTGCCCGCGGAGCCCACGGACGTGCCTACCATGGACTTTGTGTGAGGCGGGGTCGGGGCTGGCCGGTGGGCGGCGTCGCCATGCGTACCTGAGAAGCAGGGTCGGGACTGGGTTACCAGCAATTTCACGGTGGAACCTGTGCCCTTTGCAACAATAGGGTTGGCAAGCGGCTGGGCGAGTAGGGTGGCTTTCCCAGCTTACACCCTGCTGTTCATGCCATGACGCGTGCAGGCCGCCACCCAAGCGTATTGGCGCCAGACGCCGCACCACAGATTGTGCCGCTGCTGGCCCCAAGAGCCCTGGCTCCGCCGCAAAGGCCACTCCCACAGCGAGCCGCGCAGGGGGCGGTCCCGGCGAAGAAGTGGAGGACGACGTCACCTCAGAAATGGACAGAGGAACCCCGCTGGCCCCCTCCCCAGCGACGCCGTCACTATCCCCACGGGCCGCAACAGTCGCGATAGCCCGCGCCACAGCGTCCAATGTTAGCCCTGGCGCAGCAGCGGCCGCGGTGTGTGGTGTCCGCACCTCAGCGGCTCTTAGCCGTCTTGGTGAGTCAGCGCCGCACTCCCGGCCCTGCTCCCGGCCTACCACCACCCCTCCCGGTGGCGCCGCCGGCGCATGCACAGCCATGCGGCCGGTCGTCGCCGCCGCAACACTAGGGGTAGATACCATCGTACAGGGGCCGCCGCTGACTCCAGACCCGGTGGTAGAGCTCATGCGCGTGAGCGCCTACTCGGGGGAGTTTGTGCGGTGTCTGGTGTGGATCCCGGGCACCGAGGAGGTGGCCTTCGCAGCAGCTAGCATGGTAGTGCTCATGCGTGTCTCCGACACGCTGCCGCAACCGGCAGCAAATGCGGCTGCGGACCAGCAGCCGCTGGTTGAGCCGGGGCGGCAGCGGCACTTGCTGGGCCACACGAGCTTCGTGTGCGCGCTGGCGGTCAGCAGCGACGGTGGTTTGCTCGCCAGTGCGCAGGAGGGAAAGGAGGCGACCGTGCGGCTCTGGGACGTAGCCAGCGGCGTATGCCTGACTGTCTTGAGCGGTATGTTTGGTATTGAGGCCACATGGATACCTGGCAGACTGTTAGTATCGACATGGCTTCACTAGGGAGTTGGGAGGGTTGTCTTGTTCACTTCTGAAACCCCTCAATCCTTCGTCCTCCTGCCCTTGCAGCCCACGCCAGCGGCCTCAGCTGCGTGGACATCTCCCCAGACGTGCGCGCCGTGGCGGCGGTGGGCTTGGACGAGCACGGCCGGCAGACCATAGCCCTGTGGAACATCTCTGAAGTGCGCATTCCTCACGGCAAGGTGCGTCCTGAACAGCGACTGCCATTGGCTAAAGTCCGTACGGCCTACCAAGGTCTGCACCAGTCCATGCTGATGTCATCTTCCTGGATGACGCCACTGCACGGGTGTCCACCGCCCAATTGTCCCTCCCTGCCCTCTATGCCTCTGCCCTACACGAATCCGGACTCCCTCTTCATCTCCCTCGGACTCATCAGGTTGCGCTGGTGACCCGCCACGCAACCGAGTTCAACATCAAGGTGCTCCGCTTCAGCGCGTACCAGGTCAGGTTGGCGACGGGAACGGGTCGGCTGGTTACGGGAAAGGGTCGCTCTGAAGACAACATCAAGACCGTACCATGACAGTGTCGCTTTAAGCCTTCCCTGCACCCTAGAGCAGTGCGGTGATTTTCCAGAACCCCCAGTCTCACGCTCTACCCTTTGTTTCCAGGAGGACCACTTGCTGACTGCGGGCCGTGACAGCATCCGCATCTACCGGCTCAAGGGAGGCCAGCTGCGTGGCACGTCAGTGCGGCTGGTGCCGCGTGAGAAGCGGGTAGGGCTGGGCTCGAGCTCTTGAAACATCTGTCAAGTCAGGCTTGGTTACTTTCGGGCAACATGTGGACACTGAAAGAGCAGACGCTGGTATCCCCGTCTAGCCGCTGCCATATAATGCGCCCAGCACTTGCCTATCTGCGTCTTTCTTGTCCCTGCAGACCGCAAACCACGTCGGCAGCGTCTCTGCAGCGGCGGGCCCCAACATCTTCACCGATATCGCCTTCGAGGCGGGCGTTGGAGTGTACGGCGTGGATGCGTTCAAGGTGAGCCGCCTCGCAATTTAAGTCCGCATGAATGACTTGGCTTTTCACAACCTAGACCGCAGCCTGCATGACTTGGCCTAGGATGCTATGCGCAGCCTTCCTGTGTCGCGATGTCCAAGTTACACTGCAGCCTTCCAACCAGCAAGCAACCAAATATCCAGCACATAGTAGCATCACACATGCCCAACGCCCCTCGTACGTCCCCAGGTGTATGTGTCGTCCGCTTCCGGCGCCGTCTTCGTCGTCGACTACACCACCCGCAGGTACGGACCGCAGGTGCTCCTGAATCTGCTCCTTGAACCCTTTGTATCCTGCCGATGGCCCCATACTTCTGCAACACGTTTCCCTTTCCTTCTCGACGCAACCTCAGTGCCTCACCCTTACCCAACACCACATGTGCCTGTGCCTCCTCGTTCCTCCCCTTCCCTTTTCTCCATAAACCCCGCCCCCCGCAACAGCCTGGACGCCGTGTACCAGCTGCACTCGGCCGGCATCAACTGCCTCCTGGTGGCGGATGGGCTGGCGATCACGGGCGGGGATGACCGGCTGCTGCGAGCCTGGCCGCTGGATTTCAGGGACTTCCTGCTAGAGGTGCGCGGCAGAGGGTGGCCTGCCTAGAAACCCTCCCACGCAACGCACGACGCTGGGGTGCTTCACACATTACCGCAACGCGGTACTTGGGGGGTGGGTACCGTTCTACGTTCTTAATAGCGTGCTGCGGCGCTCATCTTGTCGTCGCATGGTGTCTGCTGTCCCATCAGGCCGAGCACGAGGGCAGCGTCACGGGCCTGGCGTTGTCGCCCGACGCCCTGCGCATCGCTATCGGCACGGAGAACGGCGCGCTGGGCTGCCTGCACATCCCCAACCACGCCTATACCACGCTGTTGCGCTCGCATTCGGGCGCAGTGAACGCCGTGGCTGTGGACCCCAGCAGGTGCGCAGGCGGGCATGGGGGCAGGGGACCACGTCACCATCATACATGGGCAGCTAGGATGCGCAGGAACAGCCTCATGTCGCATGGCTCTGGGCGCTTTCACAGTGTCCTCAACGCCGCCACCACCGTCAATGACTCGTGCTTAGCAACCCCCATTTTCCGTTCACGCTCTTCTTGTTCTTCCCCCAGGGACCAGTTCTGCACCGTCTCCTCCGACGGCACCATCCGCATCTGGCACCTGCTCACCCACCAGCAGCTGTACGAGTTCGATGCGCCCGGCGAGGCCGTCACCTGCATCGCCTACCACCCCCTGCCCAGCCACCACGAGCTGGCAGCGGGCTTTGCGAACGGCCGCCTGCGTGTGTTCGATGTGCCCACCACCACGCTGCTGCAGGTGCGACTGGCTTGGGGTGTCGGGCTGGGAAACCTCCTTGTTCGTGACGAAGCTACCGTTGCTTTCAGTCGTTGCACTTGAGGCCTTTGGTGTCCTGCTGGAACTGGCCATTCAAGGCCATCCTTCGCCTCTCAATTCCCAAGTAGCCCTGCACGTTGTTTCCTCACGCAGGAGCAGCAGCAGCACCGAGGAGCCGTGGCGGAGCTGGTGTTCTCACCGGACGGCGAGCGGCTCTTCAGCGGAGGCGCTGACGGCGCGCTGGTAACGTACGATGTGCAGCGGCTGTACGCGCCCACGCAGTACCTATCAGCAGGTGTACGGGACATCAGGGTAAGACCAGAGGAGCCTGTTGGGGCGCCCGTATGATGAGGCTGTGGCTCATGCCGACAAGGGAAGCCCTGAAGGTTGTCCTTGCCTGGTGTCCGTGCGCAGGTCTGCGTGGCGGTAAGCCCCAACGGCGCCCTGGTGGCCAGCCTGACTCGCGACCCCTACCGCGGTGTCACCTCCCTGCTGATCTTCCACGGCCGCACATTGGCGCCCTTCATGCGCATCGAGACGGATGCGCCAACGTACATAAAGTAAGGGGGCGGGTCGGCATGTGAGAGCGGGTTTAGCGGGTGTGAAGCCGGGTGCTGGGGACGCGGAAGCCGCCGTGGAGCCTTCACTTTGTGCGTCTCCCTCCTCGGTGTGTCCTGAAGGCGCCTGACTTCACACTTGACCCACATGCCGGAACTCCTTGCCTCTGCTGTTCTTCAGGCTGGCGTTCAGCGCGGATGGCAATGAGCTTTGGGCGCTCACCTCGCTCCGTCGCTTGGACCGCTACGAGCTCAGGGAGGGGCAGCTGGTGCAGCAGGTGAGGTCCAGACGGGAAACCCTTACCGGTGGCGACAGTAGCCATTGGCACAGCTGCGAGCTTGGGACTGCTGTGAGGGCCATGTCGCAGCCGCTCGCTTGCCCTTACTCTTATACGAACGCGACATTCCGAGCATGAGTGCATGACATCTTGACATGTGGTCACCGCCCACCTGCCGCAGATCCGCGACATCTCCAACCTGGAGGTGACGGCCCTGGCGATGGACCCCGTCGGCCGCTACGCGCTGACTGCGGGCAACGACGGCCTGCTGCGGGTGTGGGGCTGCGTGCCGCTGCCGGCTCTGCAGCCGCGCGGGTTGCCGCCGAACCAAGCCTTCCTTGGCCACCCGGGCGCAGTGCTAGGTGCGTGCCGGGGGAGCTTCCAAGCTGCGGGTGTGCGGTTGCTAATTGGGAAGAGCACCCCAACTCGCCTGTTGTTCACGCCAAAAGTCAGTATTGGCGTATGGTCCCATGCAAGGCGACCTGTTCCGGCTGAACTGAACTAGCCGTGGCTTTTGTCGTACAGGTGCCGCTTTCCACCGGGGCCACCTGATCACTGTGGGCGACGCGGACTGCATCTGCGTCTGGCGCGTCACCGCCGACACGCCGCCACCGCACGCCAGCCTTGACCCCGCTGTCGCCCGCGCCTCCGTCGCGCAGCGTCTGGGCGCCCTGCCACCAGCGCTGCGCCCCATGGGCTCTCCCGGCCTTGATCCACGCGACCCCCTCAGCCGCGCCACACCGGCTACCGCCCTCGGACCTGTTGCGAACGCCAGCGACCACCGCTTGACGGCACGAGCGGCAGCCCTGGCCTCTCCGGGCGTACCCCAGGCGAGGTTGGTGCCTGCGAGTTCCTCTCCGGTAGTGAGGCCAGGAACTGCAACCGGGCTGCCGTCGCAGCAGGCGCAGGCTCCAATTGTCTCACCTTTCCCTGCAGTCGCAAACGCCGCCGTGGCTGCAGCCGATGCTGCTGCAGCTGCCCTGGCAGCCGCAAAACTGAACAGCCCCGGGGTTTATACCGCGCCCGCGGTCATCCCACGACCGACGAACTACACGTCCGCTTCACCTTACAGCAGCCCCATCGCCGTACGCCAGGCTCCATCCGGGCCCTTTATGCCACCGTCTGCAGGGGCCCCGCCTCCGCTCAGGCAAGAGCAGCAGCCGCAGCTGCCCTCGCCCCAGGTGCCGCGGGCGCCTGAGCCTCCGCCGAAATGCAGCTGGCTGCTAGGCTACACCCCCAGCGGCTTCAACAACGTCACATGGCGCCCCGAAACCGGCCTCTTCGCCTACTCCATAGAGGAGATGGTGGTTCTGGAGCATCTAGCGACGCGGGAACAGCGCTATCTCCGGGCCCATACCCGCTCGTTGGGCTGCCTTGCGGCCTCAAAGGACGGGTCGCTCATCGCTGCGGCACCGCGGACGGCGGAGCACCATGTGGTGCAGCCAGAGGCGTCGCTGGGGGCCTCCTCAGCCACCCAACCAGTTGTGTGCACCACTGCGCCGTTCGCGGATGTGGTGGTGTGGGATGTAGCCAGCGGCAAGGAGCGGTGGCGGCTGCGTTACCACCCGCATGGTGTTCAGGTCAGTGCAGGCCTAGCGTGAGCGGGGTCCTGGGTTGCATGTGGCTAGGGGGTTGGGACGACGGGAACGCGGCCTGTGCGTTCCTTTCATGGCGATGCGAGCTTCCTCTGAGAAGCAACCACACACCTTGCTAGCAGAACCAACATGGACCATAACTCCTTTTTATCCCACGCAGGCGTTGTGCTTCTCTCCAGACGGTCGCTGGCTGCTCTCCATAGGGCGCGAGCCGGAGCGCTCGGTAGTGGTGTGGGACGTGTCGGCTGGGCTGCTGGTGGCAGCGGGCCGCACCGAGAGCTCGCCGGCTGCGGTGGAGTGGCTGTGGGGCGGCGACAACCCCTCCTTTGCCAGCGTGGGCAAGGACGGGCTGCTCTTATGGACGCTGCTCGACAGGTGCGCCTCAACGGTTTGCTGTGACATGGGTGTTGGACTGGGCAGCCTGCATGCGCCTTCCGAGGTGCAGTCCCAAACAGTGTATTTGCATGCGGAGGGAAAGATTGACTCAAGGAAGGTCGGAGGGCTGCGCAACGCCGTCCCCTCTAAAGACTGGCAATACTTAATGACGAGGCCCGTTTTGATCATGCCCGCGTCGCCCTCATACAGCTTCCTGGAGCAGCGCAGCGTGCCACTGGGTGACCAAGACGACGCCGTACCGTGTACGGCGCTAGCAATCGACCCGGCAGGCGCGCTCCTTGTCGCAGAGGCTCCCAAATGCACCGATGGGGACGGACCCATGGGTCAGATCCCGCTGTGGCACATCGACGTGGCGAATGCGTTTGCCGACGGCCCAGCAACCATGGTGCAGGTAAGGCATCGCTCCTTCTGGTTGCCACACTCGCTTGCATCTGGCAAGCCGGTGCAGCGTAACATCGATGATTGACCTTAGCACCCAGCGTTGGCAAAGACCCACCCTCACCTCCACGTGTCTTAACTACAGGTGGCTTCACTTCCTGGCGACACCGCCGTCACTGCCATGGCAGTGGGCAGTAGCCACGCGCTTGTCGCTACGGAAACGGGGAACCTGGTGCGCTTCAGGTGGGATTTGCACGAAGAGGCGAGGGCGGGCCCTTAAATTTACGGCTACCCTCCTATGCCCGCCATTCTCTCGTTATGAAACATGTACCTGTCCGTCAATTTTCGTGTTGTCTGCTGGCCCGTCGAACGCAGGCGCGACACCCACAGCGGTGTCTGGTGCGAGGAGAGCAGTGTGCAGCTGGACGGCTGTGTGCGGAGCCTCTCCGCCGAGCCGGGCATGGCGGACGCCGTAGTGGCAACTACCACAGCCACCATCTGGTTCGTTGGCATGCAGGTGCGTGCCCGCAGGCCTGTACTTCGCAAGTTTGCAACACACGCAATGTTTGCGAAGTGCACGCACGCAATGCTGATTCATGTCTGCCCATCTGCCCACAGGATGCCAGCTGTGTACCCATCGTATGCGGCCAGCAAGGACCGGTGCTGGCGCTTGTGGCAGCACCGCACGACCCACGGGTCATGGCGTCCACCTCAGGAGACGGCATGCTGCGTGTCTGGTACCTGGGGCTTGGAGATGTAAGTACCGTATTGCCCAAAATTTAATTGACATGCGTTTGGAGGCCTATTTTCTAGCCCCATTTGACAAAGCGAAAATAATTTATGCCCCATTTGACTTCCTGATGGCGAATTTCTAGCCCCTTTTGACATGCGCCAAAACACCCCAAAAGCCGCCGTACGTGTTGGATGTAACATGGTAAGGAAAGGAGCTGTTCAGCTGTGTGCCGCTGTGCAGCCCTAGGAGGATAAGTGGAACACCATTTGGAAACCCCGACTGGGCATGGCGCGGTGAGGATCCAGCGCACTGGCAAGTCAGTTGCCCCCTACCTCTCCGTTCCCATCTTAGTCTTCCCTGCAGTCACCCCAGGCGGAATATTTTGCCCCCATTTGACACCTTGCCAGCGAATTTCCAGCCCCATTTGACATGGCAAAAAAACTAACTGCATCTGGTTTCAGCAGATGGCGTCGACAGCACGTCACCGTTCCGCCTTAACCTAGTGGTTAACCAACGGCACGACCATCACCAACCAATCCATGCCTTCCCCAACGCCCATAGGCCGAGCCAACCGTTGAGCTACAGTCCTCCTCAGCCTGTACCACCGCTACCTTCGCCATGCACAGCCTTCCGGCGCCCAAACCAGCCTCCTCTCCTCAAGCAGAGCCTGCACGCCAGCCCAAGTCGGGATCCTCACCCAAGCCCCCGCCGGTCCCGCTGTTGCTGGGCGGCTATGAGGACGGTTCGTTGCGGCTGTTCTCCATGCAGCCGACAGTGGAGCTGCGCTGGGCGCTGGCGCGGCACCCCGCACCCGTGGTGGGCGTGGCGGTGCACCCAACCAAGCCGCTGGTGCTCACGGCGTCCAGGTGGGATGGGCCTGATAGCTGAGACCATTTCCAGTTGGGGTCCGACCTCGTGTCAGTTTTCATGCTGGACGTTGAACTCGGTTTGTTTTCCTCCGTGCATGGTCGTAGCGACTTGTCAAACCCTGTGAAAAATGCAACGCGGGATCTTCAAACTCACACTCCCGTTTTCCACATTTTTTGCGTGCAGCGACGGCAGCCTGGCTGTCACGGACCTCGGCTCCACGCGGCTGCTGTCGTACATCACGGCCCTGACCGCCTGCCCCGCGCCAGCACCGCCCAGCAGACGCTCCCCGGGGCCGCCGCCTCGCTCGACCCCTCCACCACCACCCGATCCGCCCCGACCAGGGACCGGACCGATGCAGGTAGGGCAGAAGGGCACGGAACCCAGCCGCTTAACCCTTTACCTCGTCCTTTGCGGGTTGTTGCGATCTGCTGCACTCGGTAATCAGATTCGATGCTCTTAGGCCTTCACTGCTTCTGAATGCATGCCAAAGCCCATATGTGCTGTGCTAAACTGGTAGTGGGCTGTGTTACCCGCCCTGTCAGAAAATGCTTGCAACTGTCCCCTTTCTTCCACACACGGTACCCAAAGCCCAGGTATGATTCTGAACCGATGCCTTGCAGGCACTGACTGTATCCCCGGGCACTGGCGCCTCCCTGACGGCCGTGGGCTGGCGCGACCGCTTCGTAGTATTCGCTGCACCCTGGGACGACCCGGCCTGCACACCCATTGCGGAGTACGACATTAAATCGGTAGGTGTGTGCCTTTGCCGGTTGGTAGCCGCGCACATGCCTCACGACGCATGCCCTTACCCCGCTACATCATTGGCCCTTTCGATGCCAGGCTTCTCCGGCTTTAGCGTGCACCCTCGTAGCTTCTTAGTTGCAACACGTAAACATCTTCGTACTATATCCACTGTGATCCATGCCATCTCGGAATGAACCGCAGCCTGGAAGCAGCCGCCGCCGTGACGCGGATGGGGCTGCTGGCGCCGACGGCTCTGCGCAATCGCAGTCCCCGGACGTGCCGGCGCTGCTTTCCTTCCTGGGCGGCGGCAGCAAGCTGCTGGCCTTCAGCAGCCCCCTGCTGCTGGGGGAGGTAGTGGTGTACGACTACCGGCTTGCGGCGGTGGTACGGCGGGTCACCGTACCGCAGGTGAGGAGGAGGAGGGGGACGCATGGGGTTCACGTTGTTGGTATTTCGGTTGTATGCGCGCATGGCTGGCGCGCCCTGCAGTGACTACCGATGAGATTCTTGTCTTTGGGTTTCTCGTGGCAGCTTTTTTGGCGTGGTAAATGGTGCAGACAACAATGCACTGCAACCCTATAACCCGCTTGCAGATGGTCCGTTCCATGGCGGTGTCACACGACGGCCGAGCCATGCTGCTAGGCGGCATGGAGCGCTCCGCCTTCCTGGCGCACATGGGCACCGGCAACGTGCACACATTGGAGGGACACGCGGGCCCGGTGATGGCCGTTGGGTTCTCGTCAGACGGCAATCAGGCCATCTCGGCGGCGGGCAGCACCATGATGGTGTGGGAGGCGCCCAAGCTGCTGCTCAAGCTGGAAGCGGCGCCACCGCCACCGCCCAGGCCAACGCAGCTGCAGTTTTGAACAGGGCAGGAATTTGAGTTTGGCCGCAGGGTTATGTAGGGATGAGGATTGAGGAAGGGGTTGGAGGGAAGAGGTTGCGTTACGTTCAAGAAGGTTCGGTCAGCGTGTGAGCCGTCAATGGATGGTCAACTAGGGTCAAGCGAACTTCTGCAGCAGACGCAGATACGTCCAATTCTGTTTGTACGGGTTATACTGAACTGGTCCCGGCAAACCGGGCATCTAGGCAAGCGGAGATGAGGCTCCTTGCTACGACGTGGAATGCAAAGCGCCGCTGCATAAACGGCACATGTTGCGACCGAGCGCTGAACGGCCGCTGTGTAATATACAATCGACGCAGCTTCACCTGTAAAGGCCATATTCTACCTACGTTGGCACAGTCTAGAACGCTCACCTATCAAAATGTTTGGGGGTTTCCCTGGAATGCCTGGGTTTGGACCCCAAACCTTTGAAGCCTTCTATAGAGCAATGCCGGTTGCCTTTATTGATAAGCAGTCTGCTGAACACGGCGACAAGATCATCATGCCGCCCTCCGCCTTGGAGCGGCTAGGTGCGTAGTATTAGCAGTTACAGCTTGATAACTTACACCTGATACGAATAACAAAAAGCTAGAACCTTAATCTGCGGTTGCTTGCCCTTGCGCAGCATCGCTTCACATCGAGTATCCAATGCTCTTCAAGGTGGAGGGCGTTCAATCCAAGCGCCATACACATTGCGGTGTCCTGGAGTTCATCGCCGAGGAGGGCGTCGTGTACATGCCGCACTGGGTATGCCTCGGGCTCCTGTCGTCCTGCTCTGGGCTGTTGCGATGGTTTCCACTGCTTCACCCCGCCAACGCCTAGCCCCGCTCTGCCCCGCCTAGCGCTCCCCAACCTACTCCCCAACTTCCCTCCAATCCGCCCTCTCACCTGAACCTTCAGATGATGCAAAACCTGCTGCTGCAAGTGGGGGATACCATCCGCCTGCGCAGCGTCTCGTTGCCAAAGGGCACCTACGTCAAGCTGCAGCCCGTGACCTCCGACTTCCTAGACATTACAAACCCCAAAGCCGTGCTGGAGCGCACGCTCCGCAGCTACAGCTGCCTCACGGTGGGCGACTGCTTCGTGGTTAACTACAACAACAAGAACTACGAGATTGAGGTGAAGGACGCGAAGCCGGGGCCCGCGATTTCCGTCATTGAGACTGACTGCCAGGTGGATTTCGAGGCGCCTAAGGATTACAAGGAGCCGGAGCGGGTGCCACCCAAGCCCCCGGCGCCAGCAGCGACGTCAGGTGGGGCCGGGCCTTCACTCCTTGCCCCTTGCCTGTGGGAGGGGATTCCAGAGGATTGCAAGCAGGAAAGCCTTCTCACTTCAGGTGTTCGTAACGTTAACACCGCCTCCTGCTCCTCTCTCCCACCTGACGTCCCTGGTCCTCTCCTCCGTCCCTGCTCCCCTCATCCTTCCAAACAGCAGCGCCAGCAGCGGACGGCAAGGCGGGTGCCGCGGGGGCTGCCGGCGCCTCCGCCGCCAGCGGCAAGGGCCCCTCTCCGGAGCCCGAGCCAGAGGAACCCAAGTTCCTAGCCTTTGCTGGAACAGGCCGGCGGTTAGACGGCAAGGCAGCGGGGCCGTCGAACCCCGTGTCGGTACCCCTGCGGTCGGTGCCCAGCGGCGGCAGCAGCACCAGCGGAGGCGCGGGGACGTCGGGCGCGGGCGGGAGCACGGCCGCGGCCGCGGCTGCGGGTGCTGGGCCCTCGGATAGCGGGTCTGCTGGGGGCAAGCAGAAGGCTGGGACGTTTGTCAACTTTGGGCCCACGGGCAATCGATTGGAGGCGAAGCTGGCGGTGAGTGGGTGGGAGGGGCGGTTGGGATGGTTAACTGGTTATGGGATGAGTGGGGATGGGGAGATGTGGGTGTGTGTGGGCATGTTGGGAAGGCTTGGCAACAGCGTTTCGCATGCCTGGCTCGCATGCCGTTTTGCCGGACATTTTGATCGGGTGTGTGAGAATGTGACGCTCTGCTTAGGTTAGAAATCGAGAGTCGAAGCGAACATAACGGCTGAACGGCCCTGTAGCCTGGAGGGCTATGTTCTGAGGTTACAGAGGGTGCAGACGTTCAGCGAAGCTCCATTGATCTGCCCTGACCCCGGCTCTGGCTATCCTTCTTACCGTGCTACCCGCAGGCGAAGCAGCAGGGCGCCGGAGCCGCCAGCGCCGCACCCAAGCCGCCTCCGCCCCCGCCGGAGGAGGAGAAGAAGGAGGAGAACAGCAATTTCAAGGCATTCTGTGGGAAGGGATACAGCCTCAAAGGGTAGCGCCGCATTCGACTTCATGAGTGGATTGTTTAGTGGATTGCCCAGCGTTGTGAGGCACTGTTTGCTGAGAGGGCTGGAGAGGGTTGCATGTAAGCGCGACAGGGCAGGGGATAGGGGCTGATGGTTGGCGGGTCATGGCGGAGTGTTTGCTGCATGGATATCAGATTTCGCTAGGGCGCAGGAAGGAACTTGCATGGAGCGCATGGTAGATCCATCGCAGGGGTTGTGTCCGCTGTTTTGCCTATTCATGCTGTGTGTGTAAGTGAGCGCTGTGCGGTTCAGCCTGATGTGGTTACGGTGCTGTTTGCCACGTTGCCGGAAGACAAGCAGCTGCCAGCTGGCTCCTGGGGGTGGGGCATTGCTGTTGTTGTTGGGGGTGGAGCATTGCTGCCTTTGCTGGTAAGCGGGCTGGGAGGCGGGGTCTTGGATCAGGTGTCCGGACCGCTGCTTGACACCTGTACGCCCTTTGGTAACGGTTGTGAAGGTGGTTGACTGGTGTACGGCATTTTGCCCTTGCAAGGTAACGGTAACGGAACGAGCTTCGCCGAGCTGCTGCTGCTGCCGCTGTTGTGTTTGGCAGTGCCTCTTCAAAGGAAATCCAACGCCGGGTTGCATGCATGCTGCGGCAAGGGAGCTGTCCGCGCATAACGCGGAAGCTCCGTATGATTGAACTAGGGAGATAGCTACTTGGGTTTACGCTACTCCAGCTTCAACGGGACCAGGTCCAGTCCTATCCATGCACCGCACGCCGTGTATACCCTGCAAAGCTACGGTCCCCTCCGTGTACCATGCAATCACCTTGAACCGGTGCCGAACAAGTGTGTGTTCGCAACTAACTGCTAGTTGAAGGTACGTCTGCCCGTACACGTATCTATCCGTACATCCGTTGACCTGTTCAACCCAACAAAGCAATCCTGAACGTTCGCTCGTCATGGTGCGCGTTCGCCGTCTCTCAGTTGTGCCAACAGAATTTCGTTCCACAACCTAACAGGAAGGGCCACACTGTCATCATGCCAGGTGCCCATAACCCTGTCGTGTCATCATGTTCTTAGCTCTTTACGCTATCCTGCGCTTGCCTCGCCCCGCGGCGCTTTTCCCCTGCTCAAGTCACAGTCCGGCTTATGGCCCCCTTGCCAGTGCTGCTTCTGACAATCCACGCTGCAGTAGTGTACGGCACGGCAGCCGGCGCACCTCCGCAGCCTCAGAGTCCCCTCGCATGCGCCGCTGTAGTTCCCGCACCTCGGGTTGCCGCACATCTTCAGCGTGCCACACACCGGCGGCACCGCCACTGGCGGCGGCAACGTCGCTAACGCCGCCGCCGCCGCCGCTGCTGTTGCCGTACATCCTACCTCGCCTCCGCCACCGCCACCTGTTGTTGCCTCCATCGCCACCGCCGCCTCCACCTCCGCCAGCACGCCTCCGCTGAGCTCCTCCCCGCCCCCTGCCCCATCGCTCTGCAGCCGCTGCACCACCCAGTCCAGCAGCGCACCCCCATCCGCTGCGGCCGCCGCCCGCCACATCGCCCGCAGCGCACGTGCCTCCGCCGCATCCCAGCCCGCCAGCCCCTCCAGCAGCATCGCACCGGCGCTGCTCAACGCCGCACCCGCAACCGCAGTCACACCTGCCGCCGCCGCCGGCCAGCCCAGCAGGGCCAACGCATGCGCACGCAGCGACATGGCCTGTCCTGCGCAGCCCTCCTCGCCTCCCTCCTGCCGTACCTCCGTCAGCATCGCCGCCAGCAACCGCCGCGCTTGCGTCAGGGCTGCCGCAGCCGCCACCAGCCAGTCGCCCTCCTCCTCCATTGGCGTCCCGGTGGCTGTAGCCTGCGTCGTACTTTCAACCACGGCCGCTGGCTGCACAGCGCTCGCCGCTGCCGTCTCCAGCGGCCACGCCGGTGCCGGCGCGGGGCCAGCGGCCGCTAGCGACGGCACATCCGCCGCCGGATCCAGCCGACCCAGCGTCACCCCCAGCGCCGCCAGCAGCCGATGCGGTTGCGCCACCAACAGCGCCGCCGCCGGCACCTTGCCGTACAGCAACGTCAGGACGCCCAGGGCAATAGCGGCGCTCTCCAGTGCTAAAATGAGTCTAAACGTGTCAGCCTGTGGGCCGCCTGACGTCGCCTCTGACACGGCGCGCAACAGCAACGGCGCCGTCAGCATGCAACTTGCTCGCGCCGTCAGCGTCAGCACCTCCTTCAGCTCCGAAGCGGGTGCCCGCAGGCTTGGCGGGGCGCGCTGCCAGACCGCCGTCAGGCCGTGCTGTGGGTCCAAAACGCTAGAAAGCAGCATGCAGGTCGGCCCTGGCGTATCATAAAATTCACCACCACCCTCTGAGGCCGCCATTGTCGCATCCGCTGCCGGCGCCGAGAGTGAGACGACCCCCGGCTCCGTTGACGGCTGTGGCCCTGCAACCGCCAGCACTCCCCATCGGATGGAGTTTTCCAGTCCGGCGGCTTCACGTATCGCTAGCTTGCTGACTGTAACAAACAGCCCAAGCTCCCGCCGAGCATCCCACGGGTCGTCGTTCTGTGCTGCCGTCCGCTCCCGCTGCCGCCCGCGCCTGCGGCTTCTGCTGCCGCCGCCGCCGCTACTGCTGGCCGCAGAGTCCGGTTGCTCGGCCCAGATCTCCAGGAGCGTGTCTGCCAGAGACGGCTTGAGGGTTTCAGTAATGCATCCCTGAAGCAGACCCACGGCATGTACGGCTGCTGCCCCCACAGGGGTGGAGGAGGAGGAGGCTTCTGCAGGCGAGACGGAGGCTTCCAAGCCCGCCGCAGCGACAGTACCGCCGCCCGCCGCATCCGCAGCAGCAGCGCAGCGGAGAATGGCGTTGAATGTGTGAAGGACGCGCGTCCGGCCCAGCCGTGATGCCAAATCGGCGCGGGCATGCGCAGGCAAAGGAGGGCCTTCATCTGTATAAGTTGGGGCGGGCGGGTTTGCGGGTGCGTGGGAGGTGTCAGTAAATGTACGTAGCCCCGAGGACGCACGCCGGAGATTGAGGAGCCGGAAGAGCTCAAGGGGTTTCTCGTCACACGGCAGGTCATCAGGATAGTTAAGAGCGCAGGGCCACGCTGCGTCCTGGTCGTGCGTCCTAGCTTGAAAGCACCCTACGCAGCTTTCCTGCGCCGCCTAGGTGCCTCCGGAACCGGCTCAAGCCAACCAGCAGTCAGGCGGCACTTACCGGCACCTTTCGCCCAGCGGAAGAGGGCCGGCACAATGCACCCCCACAGCGCCCTCCTCACATCCGCATCCTCTTGCCCGCATCCGCAGCGAAGCAGCACCTCCTTTCCGGTCGCGCACCCCCAGGCGAACGCCTCCCGCGCGTCCACTGCAATGCCCACATGGTCTTTGTTCGCGGCTTGGATAGACTCAGCCGCGTCGCAGCAGCGCCCTACCGCAAACGCCACCGCCTTCACATCCACCTCCGCAGGCTCCGGCTTGTACTGTCCGCCGACACCGCGGCCGAAAGTCAGTCGGTGTAACGCGCGCGTCAGTCGAAGCACCAGTCGCATGCGCTCGGGCGGGCTGGGAAGCACGGAGCACAGCCTGGGGTCGGCCTCAAACCCGCCCCACACCCGGAGCACAACGTCAACTAGCGCCGCATGCGCGCATTCAAGGCGTCTGCTAGTGCAAGGGGACTGCTGCGTTCCTAACACTACTGCGCCCTCGAGCGTGGGAATGCAGTGCAGCATCGGCCAGGGGTGGCTTGCGCCGCCGCCACCCCCGCCGCCGCCGCTGCCGTCTTCTTCGCCCCAGCCGCCGCCGCCGCCGCCCCCGCCTCCGTCCATTACCACCCTCTCCAGCAGCAGCCGTTGCATGTCCACAACCTCGGGCGCCGCCAGGACCTCTAACAGAGTCTCCCCCCCTTTGATGTCTGACTGGCCACTGCTTGGCCTCGACAGCGCATCCAAGACATTAAGGAAGAAGGCCAGCGCCGGTTGAAGGACGTATTCCGGCTGCGTGTCGCCATCATCCTCTGCAGGCGCCCACAGGAACGGCGGTGCGGTGAGGAACCCCCCGCAAATCGCCGCAAGCAGCCCGCTCTGTTGTAGCATCCGCTCCAGTTGCTGCCGACGCGGCGGCGGCGGTGCTGGCGGCGGCGGCAGTTCTGTGGTTGGGTCCTGCGGATGGGTTTGTGGTGCTGCTTCTTCTTCTTCCGCGGAACTGCAGCGTACGAGACCCCACAGCAAGCCCGGGGCAGCGTGCAGAACAGAATAGGCCCCGAGACGGAGGAGCCCCAGCGCGTTACGCCGGCGAGCGTCTTCTATAATGTTTAAGCCCTGCGAAGGCGGCGGGGCTGATGGCCGGTGCTGGGCCCCGCTGCCCGGGCCCCCTGACCGATGCGCCCGCTGCCCCTTCTGCCGACGGCCGCCCTCCGCTGCCGTCCGCTCCGGCTGCGGCTGTGGCCCCGACAGCATTAGCGGCCAGACCTCCGATTGGAGCAATCGTACTGCAGCGGTCATGGCGCGGCCGACGGCGACATCGCCGAGCTGCTCATACAGATGTTTGCGGTCCTCGGCGGCAGCTGCTGCTGAGGCGGTGGCGCTGGGTGCTGTTGATGCGTTTGACTGCGTTAGAACCGTCTCCTGCCCTAGCTGTGTGGTGCAAGCCGCTAATAGCCGTTGCAGCTCTGCTGCCAGCAGGCATAGGTTGGCTAACCGGATCAGGTGGGTGATTCTGGTCGGCGGCTTTTCCTTACAAGGGGCGGCATTCGGAACAGACGAGTCGGAAGCGGCCGAGGAGGAAGAAGCAGCGACTGCAGGGTCGGGCGACTCTGGTGTTGTGGAAGCCGTGTCTGGAATGCTGCCGCCGTGCGATGGGGCTTGGGTGAGGTCTCGAAGCAGCGCTACAGCTCTTGGAACCAGGCGCAGGCTCACTGCTGCTCGAGTCGCTGTTGCTGCGACATGCGGCGGGACTTCTGTATCGAGCCCGGCCGCCAAGCTCCAAAGCGAAAGTTGCAATGAGCGGTAGGCACTGGGCATGTCTGAGTGCTCATAGCCTGGAGCATCGTTGCCCCGTTCATCCTGCCGTTGCGAGGATAGGCCGTGCTGGAATGCGGCACCGCCAAGGTGCGCGCGGACAAACTCTGAGTTGCTAATTTCATCTAGGTAGCCTGAGATCTGCCTGAGAACTGGGCGCAGGTCTTGTTGGGGCATTTTTTGCCTGGCGGCTCGCAGTTAAGACGATTGTGCAGAGGCGGCGTCCTTACCGCCTACCGGTATTGGTACCGTAAGGCAGCATAGCTGTAAAGTTGCTACTGAACGAATGCTGGCTCCTAGCTATTGGTTACTTGTGACTAGTTGAGAGGGTATGCAGTGCCCCTGTATGTAAGAGGTGATTGCTGCGGCGATACGGTACATTAGTGGTGTATGCGAGGATGCTGTGGTGCCAGAAGTGACATTTTTGTTTGCGACAATGCGTCAAAGCAGCGCTGTACGTATGCATGATACAAGTCCCTCGACTTTAAGTAGCAGGTTCATAACTTGCCTCGATAGAAAAGCAAGCAACTACGCAGGTTGTCGGCTATCTAGGTCACGCGTCAGCCAGCTAGGGCTTGCTCAGCGAGCCCATAGCAAGCCGCTGGATTGCTTTCTTGGATTACCTGCTCCTTTCTAGGAAAGCCCCGCAGCCGCACGTTGTAGAACATCCATTGCTACAAATCGCTTCCCGTAACACAGAAGCGCTGCTGCAATAGATTGTGCAAGCGCTACTGGGGTCCCTCCGTGTCACTTGAAGGGCAGGTACAATGATGAGCTTCAATCACGCGCTGGCGCAGGGTCGTGACCCATGGGTCACTTCACATATCTGCAATAAATTGGACTTTTGTTTGCAAGGACCAGAGATAAAGTTGATGAGGGTTCTGTAAAGGGCGTAACAAATAAATCTAGTGGACAGCCTGGCGACCTCCTCTAAGGCACACAACCGCTCCCCCAGCCTATTGCCGTACTCTTCACCCCCTGACAGCAAAAGCTGGGCTGTCACATTGCTTACGTTGGACAGCTGTGTGCTTCACTACATGCTTCATAGCTTTGCCAGCAAAAGAGGGGTGTCCTGAGGCGGCCTACGGACACGGGCACGGTACAGGTTGGATCTTCTACTGGCCTTGTCTCGGAGGTGGTGGGGGGAAGGAACAAACCGTTGGGGGGGGGTAGCGCATCAGGATCGTGTACTTTATGCTGGGTGCTGCTGGGGGTAGGCTGGCGTGGATAGGCCAAAGGCGCGCGAGAGGCGGGTTCTAATCAGAAGAGTATCTTCTGCGCCCGCTTCACCTATCTATGGCAGCAGCACTGAACCGTGTACGTTGTTGTGCCCACATGATCGGGCGACCCGCGGCAGGAGTTGCTGCATGTCGGAGTGCTGGAGCCGGAAGTCGACGTCCGTGTTGTCATGTTGCCCGGCTTACGGTTACGGTGATGTCGTACCAGCTGCGCTAGCGTACCCTGGCTGGCTTGCCCCGTTAGGCACGTTTGTGTTGGTGACCAGCAAGTGGGCAGGGCCGTCGTCCCTAGGCAAGAGCCTCATTGATTGCACTGAGCGGAAGCCGTGGGTCCTGGCTACCTTGGGAGCCCCCAATGTACAGCAGGTGCCGTACATGACCGTGAAGTAGGTCTGTACCAACGCTTTTGCAACATTTTTGGCCTTACACGTCCGCAACACGTGCATAACTAAACAGTATGCGGGCTCTAGCTAGCCGTCCCTCCGCGCACGTGCCCACTCGTAGCCGGGTTGTTGCCGTTGCAAGGCCGCGAACCGTTTGCTCATCCGCAGCAACGGTTCTCGGCAACGGCAACGAAACAAGTGAAGCTTATAACCGCATAAAAGGAATTAAAGTGATTAGGTCTTCAGATGGCCAGCTTGTGGATTTGACGAGCTTGTGGGGACCGGGCGAGCGAGCAGCGGTTGCCTTTGCGCGCAGCTTTGGCTGCTGCTTTTGCTGGTAAGTAAAACATAGCGTTACCTATCTACATCCTAATGTTGATTATCGTTTTTAGAATTAAAGGAACTGTTCCTGCGTCGGTTGCGCTTTCTCAACCACTCGGTTGCTGGGATCCCGAATCTGTGGCTGTCAGGGAGTTGGCGATCCAGCTTCGCCGTGACATCAAACCGCGACTTGACGAGCTCGGTGTAAAGCTGTTCCTGGTGTCAATTGGTACGCACGAACGCTCCAAGGACTTTGCAGAGGTAAGCCCCAGCAATGCCAAGCTTATGTATGTATGCATGTCCATAACCCTCACACGGCACATGCCCACATGCCCACAAGCCCGGCCTAAGCAATCCCGCCCTAGCCCTATTGCCGACAGAGCCGCCGTCCATGGCTGCTTTACTTTGCAAACATGCGTCCCTGTCGGACATGAACCGTCACAGAACGAACGAACGAACGGGCTCCGCCAACTCGGTCCCTCCTCAACACACACAGGTTACGGGCTTCCCACGAGACAGCTTGTTCGCCGACCCAGAAAACGCGCTGTACGACGCTCTCGGCCTGGTTCGCAGCGTGGGGGCCACATTCTTCTCAATCGAAACACCCTTGGCGCTGAAACGCCGCGTGGAGGAGGGCCGTACGGCGGATCTAGCTGAGGTGTTCCAGCGTTGGCAGCCCTGGATTCCGCCCAGAAGCGAGCAGGTAGGCAGGATTGGGGGCTGCTCGACGGCTATAGTGGTTTGGATGCTGCAATCGGCCTGGCTTTGCCTAGTGTAGCACGTGCACCCACGTGCCAGCGTTCGACGGCTCCAGGAAACCCTTGCTCTTGGTCCTGCCGCTGCCGCTGTTGCCCCCCCCCAGGCGCTACAGCAGGGCGGGTTGTTTCTGTTCGAGGGCGACAAGGTGTTGCTCAGTCACCGAGACAAGGCTACCGCCGCACATGCGGACTTCGAGCAGCTGCTGCAGCTGGCAGGGGCTCTGGCGCGCGGGGGCGGGGGAGGGGAGGGCAGCAGCGGTGGGACGTGTGGCGAGGTGGACGGTTGGGGCAGCTGCGATGTGAGGGTGATGCCGCAGGAGTTGCGGCAGCAGCAGTAGCAGCAATAGCAGGGGCAGGGAGGTGCTAAGACTGCCACAGCAGCTCTAGCTGAGAGTGCTATGCACACCAAGGCCGGTGGAGGGGGTTTGGTATGCACGCAGGAGTTGCGGCAGCAGTAGCTAGCGTCTGGGTTGGGGGTAAGATGTAGCAATGCAACAACTTACTAAGTGTGGCTGGGCCAGGGGTTGCTTCTATGGGCTGTAGTGGCTGTATCTGTGTGGTGTTCAGGGTCCTGAAGAGTGACTACACTCCCGAAAGGGCAGTTCCAGGCCTTGAACTACATGGGACTGTATGTCATTATTGATACCCGGTTCTAATGAGGGTTCGCACTTCTTGTGCGCCATGCTTGTTTGCTTTGGAAGCTGCCCCAAGGCATCGTGAATGGAGCGCTTACGCAACATGGCCATGCGAATGTGATGTAGCAGCTGCCGCCGAGCCTATACGTGACCCATGAGTCGTTCACGCTGCACTGCACCTGCTCCTTACCGGTGTAATGCCTACGCGATAAACAATGGCGAGCACCGCTATCCTTACTATGTAAATCCGTACAGACGGCTTATCCAACTTATTACTGTGTCCAGGAACAAGTATAATTCTCGCGTTGTGATGTACCATGGGGCCGGTTGCTTCTCTCGTCACCTCGTACACAACAGCGCACACCACTGCCTCCAAAACGCATCGATATCCCAAGCCACACCCCACTCGCCAAATTGAAATACTGCGGCATGCATACATGTAAGCACGTGGCCGTGCATGCAGGTGACCGCTTAAGAACGGCCCCATCAGTTCATACTTGACTCTTGACAGCTTCGATGGCATGGCTTCTAGGCAGGTAAAAGCGAAGGAAACGAAAAGAGATCATGGCATCGCTGCTCGTGCAAAGGCTTTATAGTAATCTACATCCCTCTGCAGGGGTTACGGCCTACCACCGAAACCGTCAGCATCAATCCGCTGCCGGGTTTAACAACCGAAACATCACAACGGCCGCCTTTGCAAACAGGTGATCAACCCACTCCTGTGCTATGTGACACGGACCTAACAACTCCTACACGTGCTCCCTCTCACTGTTACCCCTCAACCCACGACGAACTCCGAAAAACTCTTTCAATTCTTTCGTAATACAATGCAATGCCTGCTTCCGAAAGCAACCAACATCCATGCAAATCATGCATGCACGGAGACGGCGGGGTCTTTCAGGTGCCGTACAGTTTACTCCTAAACAAAGCACAGGTCAGCCTCCGCTTCCACCATGTCATTAAGCCCCGTCATGCAGCCGTACCGTACCGTGCCGTACTGCAGCACAACAGCAGCAGCCGCCTACTTCTCCCACCGCCCCGCCCCCTGCTGCTGCGTTGTCCTAGGCTCCTGCCCAGTCACTTGCGGTGTGGGTAGCAGCTCTAACGGAGCATCCAATCCCTCATCCGCATCACCCGCATTACCACGCCCTTGCGCCTCCCCTTCCTCCTCACTAATCCGCATCTGCCGTGTGTGTATCACCTCACTCCCAGCGGTGCCTGCACCGCCGCCTACTTTTCCGCCGCCACCGCCCCCAACGACGGTGCCGCTTCCCGACCCCACTCGCCCCAATTCCAGTTCCGAAGCACCAGGTATCCTGGGATTTGTGACGGCCACATGACCTCCAACTGTGTGACGATAACCCGCAGGTGCAGGCGCAAGTGAGTCATCCCCAGACCAGCCCGCACGAAACGCAGACGGCAGAGCAGACGCGTTTCTGGAAACGGGAAGCGCAGCACCGCCGGCCAAACGACCCATGGGTCGCAGGAAGCCCCTTCCACCACCTGCTTCAAAATCGGCATCACCGCCTGCATGGCGGCCGTTGCCACCGCTTCCGCCTCCTCCACCGCCCAGGTCTTCTAGAGTGAAGACCTCGTCTCCTACGTCGCTCCCATCTAAGGAAAAGCCGCCGCCACCGCCACCGCCACCGCCACCGCCGCCGCCACCTGCAGCGGCGGGCCCCGAGTACTGCCCCATCTCCGCCGACCTGCCGCCGCCGACGACGCCGCCGCCGCCGCGGCCGCCGCGCGCAGGACTGCTGCCGTACACATTGAGCAGTCTGTAGCGTTCCGCCGCAACTGCGGTAGCAGCGGCCTCCTCGCGGTACCGTTTGCCGTACCGCAGCCGACGGTAGCCGTCGGCGACGGCGGCGCAAAAGCGGCTCCAGGGAATGTCCGCGGCGGCGGCGGCGGAGGTAACCAGACCAGGAGTGTACGACTGACCTGTGAAGACGGGTTCGTAGGAGTAGAGGCCCTGCAGGGGTAGGTGCGGCGGAGGGAAGGTGTCCTTATCACCTGCTTGATAGCTGGATACGCCTATCCGCACTACCTGACTGTCCTTATTATAGTACCAAGAAACGAGTATAATGCAAGCAGTTTAGTAAAACCGTGAACCACTCCCATCTCTCCTCACCTGCGCGCTCCAAAGCGCCCTCCAGCTGCCCGGCCGCAGAAAGCCGCAGCACCACATCACCCCTCCCACCGTACCAGCAGCCAGCAGCACACACGACACCACAATAAACACCACCAAACCGCCATGACTGCTGCTGCTAGTGCCACCGCCGCTTGTTGGTGACCCATGGGTCGCGTCTGCCTCCTGGGATGATGATGAGGCGGAGGCGGATGAGGAAGCCGAGGCGGAGGCGTCTCCTTGTGAACTAGACTGGGACTGAGACTCGGCTTGGGACGTAGCTTGTGTTTGCGATGGGGATTGGGAACTTCCGGAGGAGATGGGTTGCAGTGGCGGCGGCGGTGACGGAAGTGGCGGCAGCGGCGGTGGCGGCGGCGGCGCTGGCGGCGGCGTCACGACGACGCAGGTGAGTGAGAGGTTGGGCGGCAGTGGCGGTGCGGCTTCGGAGTCCCCGGACCAAGTGGAGGAGTTGAAGGGCTGCGAAGGAGACGAGGAGGAAAGATGGGGAGGAAAGAAGTGGAGGAAGCCACGACGGGTGAATCTCGAGGGTGCAGCAGGGTGACAGCAGTGACACCGGTAGGAGACAGCAGGGGTGCATTTAGAGCAGAGCGAGGTAGACATGGGGTGACGGCCTCGGGTGGGAGGAATGCTTACAGTCTATCTTACTGATGCGCACCCCGGCACTAACCCCTACCATCCCCCCCCCGGGCCGCTTACATCGCAACCGTACGGCAGTTTGCGTCCATCATCGCACGTGCAGCGCCCCATCACCCGCACCCTGTCACACGGGTCTCCGCCTCCTCCTCCACCACCACCGCCACTGCTGCCGCCCTGCCCCTGCGGCTGCTCCCCCGCTGTTTCCTCTTTACCCGCCTGCAGCGGCACCTGCGCTGCCGTGTAGAAGGGCATACGCGCGAACCCAGTGTGGGCGATGCGAGTGGTGAGCGTTACGTCGCTGAGGGCCGAGTCGTTGTGGTAGCGCTGCTGCGGCACCTCGCAGTCTGGAGGGGTGCTCAGGAGGGGAACGGGTTGGGGGGTCTAAGACCATACCAAACCATAGGAGACCACAAGTTAGGGCAAAGCAATGGGGGGAAAGCGGGCGGGAGGGTGATGCCGTACGGGGGAAAGGAAAGGACAGCTGACGGAGCTGGGATGGAGAGTGAATGGCGGAGGCGACGCAGTGTGTGTGTTACGTCCCCGTCTCCCGCCCCCCACCTCCCGTCCGCCCCCCCCACCTCCCCCCTCCCAGTTGTTTCCTCTTTACCCCCCCCCCCCCTCCCACCTGCGAACTGCGGGCTGCACGTCAGCTGCTGGCAGCATGTGAGCAGCGGCCTCAGGCGGCAGCAGGTCTCCCGGAAGCAGGCGCCCAGGTGGGAGGCGTCCAAGCAGGTGTCCAGGTCGAAGCAGAGCTGGGTGGGAGGGAGGGAGGGAGGGGGAACGGGGGTGGAGAGGAGGAGGAGGAGGAGGAGGAGCGGGAGGGAGGGAGGAGGAGGAGCTGGGGTAAGCAGGAGAGAGAGAGAGGGAGGGAGGAAGACCGGAGCACGCCGGGCAGGGCAGGGCTAAATAGGCCTACAGTGGGCAGTAGCGGTGGTAGTGCAGTGCAGTAGCAGCAGGGGGCAGTGGCAGCAGGGGGGCAGGGCGCGGTGGCGGTGGGTCATGGAGGCAGTGGCGGGCGGTCATGGGTGGGCGGTAGGTCATGCCTGCCCACCCACCTGGCGCTCCGTCTGCGTGAATCCCTCCTCGCAGCCGCCCGGGGTGCAGCCGGTGACGTGGCAGTCGTCGGGGTCGGGCGTCAGGGCGGGGGCGCCGAACTGGAGGGGGAGGGGGAGAGGCAGGGAGGGAGGGAGAGGGGTGGGGAGAGGGATGGATGGAGGTGGGGAGCGTGCGGGGAGTCCTGGAAACCCAAGGCCGGGAGACGGAGATGGCTGCGTGTCTGGTTGCTGTCAACTAGCCGGGCCCCTGCGTGCACTCCGCTACGCACCGTCCCCGCACGATGCCATCACCCACGCCCTCCCGCCCTGCCCCAAGCCGTGACTCCCTATTCTCCCGCGCACCTGCCATTCTGCGGTGCCCGGCGGACAGACGTCCCACGCTTTGCTGCAGTTGAAGGCGTTGGTGCAGGTGGGGGTGGGGATGACGGCTGGGGGCGCTGCCGGTGGAGGGGGCGCGGGCGCGGGGACGGGTGGGGTTGACGGTGCGGGCGAGGCTGAAGGGGAGGCCGAGGGCGAGGATGCGGGTGTGGGTGTGGGCGAAGGGTTCGCATCGCCACCAGGACTGCCGGGCTGGCTGCAAACCGTGGTGCAGGCGGCAGCTGGGACCCAGGCGACGGCCGCTGAGGGCTGGGAAGCGGGGCGGGGCGCGGAGGAGGGGGGCGAGGTTGGGAAAGGGGCAGCGGGACATGAAGAGGCACGCGAATGGCAGACGGGCAGGGAGAGAAGGGTATCGCGTCAAGCCAAACAACTGACCGAAGCAGTGAGAGCTATACCGAGGGGCTAACTACGCAATAAGCTGCAAAGCGCAGGAGCTGGCCTCCCGGCGCTTTTCATGCCAATCCACACTAGCAACACGAAAGGTAGGTGCCGCGTGGCAAATGTTGCCAAGGGAAGCTTTGCGTGAAGGGAATTGTGAATAGGCTCCAGTCCGGGGTCATGGAGCGTCCAGACGCGGACTTTTCTGGGCCCGGCCGAGTATGGCTCCATTCGTGTGGAATAGCGAGTAGCTAGTTGTGCAAACACCGCCTTCTTCGCGTGATGCTGATGTGCTACACGTTTATTAAAGCTTACCTGGGTCGCACATAGCAATAAAGTGAAAAACAACAACCCAACTGCCCAGATGTTCTTGGACCACGACCCGGCAAGACGTCTCGGTCCATGACCCCGACTAGATACTACATTAGATCTTGTAAGCCACGAGCTTCCTTTAGTGTGCCTAATGCAATCCACCGTTGGTTGGTCTTGTCGCATGAATGCGCTTAGCTGTATGAACGCATACAACCCGATGTCGAAGGCTTGCTTGTACACTAATACTAATTCGGGTTGCAACGGGGATGAGCCGTGCCTCCGCAGCAAATTTAGCCTGGATCCTGGTTCCTGGAACTACCAACTCCGGAGCCATCGACCTGGAACAGAGGGACGAGGCCCACGGTGGCCGCAATAGAGAGGAACGCCCTAGGGCCTTGGCCCTACCACGCCAGGGCCAGTGTGCTTCGGCTGTTGCCGTCCGCGGTATGTCATACACTACCGGTATCTTAAGAGGTCTGTTTTGCTGCAGTGCAGTGCATGAAGATTTCCTACTGTAAGCGCTTATAACGGCAACTCTAACAAGAAGGGGCCTGAAATCCTTGTGCTGGATGATGTCGCCGCCTACGGCTTCGGTTGGAAGCGGCTTGCAACAAGTCCTAACTTCAAAGGCATGGGTGGAACGTCCATTGTAACCTTCTGCTCTGACGTTCTCGGGTATCTTGGGATCAGGAGTAGTTACCTGGACTAAGAGCGTACCGGGTACTCGCGATGCATCCCGACGCAGGGATTCTTCATAACGCCATGCCACTTAATACATATTATGGGTCCAGAAACAAAATACAGCAATACATTCTGTATTTCCAGATATGATCAGTCACGTATTGACCAACTGCCAGCAGTACAATATTCCTTCTTCTCGATAGCTTCCCGCTTGCTTCGTCCTTCGGATCCAGGGATTCTGGAGATCCTACCACAGGAGGCACCTAATAAGTGCCCGAAGAGTTAACAAATTGTGGCACAAGTATTTCCTAAGCGACAGTGCGCTGTGTCTGACAGGTAGTGCGCGGCTACCTACCCTGGACCTACGCTCACCTGCCTTTAACTCAGTAAGCTTCTCTTGAAGTTTAAGTATGTTTTATTATCGGCAGCTTCAGTCAAAATGACAACAAGTAACCCAAGGATATCGGTATCTCGAGCAATGCGGATGGAGTTGGCCCTTGCGCTCGTGGCCTTCGTCGCTCTCCTGTGAGTGCCGCGGGTCTGCTATCTGTGGCGCTGAATTTGGGTGTATCAAGTGAATGTGGTTGTCGCCGCGCTTTAGCAACACTAATGGCCTTGAGCCGTTCTTGCTTTCATTACGGCAAGACGAACCAGATCGTGTACGCAACCCTGGCAATGAATTCACTGTATTGTAGCGAAAGAATATGACCGCGCCGGCTAGATTAAGGGCCTATTGTTAATTACATCTGCCGCGTCCTGCCGTCCTGGTACTTTCCTTACAGGGGCCATGGAGCTCAGGCGCAGTCGAGTTCTACTTTTCCATACAGTTCTTGCACTCAGAGCCCTTCCGCGTACAGCTTGCTTCCGGTTGCCCGTTCGCTTGGCAATGGCCAGTACTGCTTCACGCTCAACGCCAAGCCTCCCACCGGCTGTAATACCTACTGCTGCACTCGCGCGGATGTAGTAAAGATGCAGGTGGGACGCGTTGTTTGGGATGCGAAGTTGGATGTAGTCAACATGCCCGTTTTGTTGCATTGGTTTTTTTGTGACGTAACATGCTGCTTGCCATGTTACATCTGTAAACAAGCATGTTATACCCCTCATACTTATTTAAGTTACTGGAAGCAAGGCATGGCACGTGATCCGCTAGCTTCCTGCCAGGTCGCACAGAATTACCGCTTGGCTTCAATTCAAGACCTGCTGTACCCAAATTTCTTGCAACCCAAGCTAACCTATGTACTATCAGATCTCCTTCCTAAAATTACCACGTTCTACTTATCCTAACCACTTATCCTAACCCTTCCTTACCTCTCCCACCACAGCTCAACGTCAACGCCGCTTGCGATGTCGACGATGCCAACGTCACCGTCACCGTCTCCGGTGTCCCCGTCAAGCAGCAGCCCGAGGCCGAGTTCAAGGAGCCCAAGAGCGGTCGCTTCGTCCTCGCCATCTCCGAGCTCAGCCTCAACCGCGGCAGCAGCGGCGCCGACATCTGCATCTCCCTCAAGCCCAACAAGAAGGGCAAGGGCTGCACCACCCTTCAGCAGCTCTGCGTCCCTCCCGCCGGCATGCCCTCCGGCGTCTGCTCCGCCGCCCTGCTCGACTCAAACAAGGCCTGCTGCCCCATCTCCACCGTTGCCCCTCCGCCTCCCTCTCCCAGCCCACCACCTCCCAGCCCACCACCTCCCACCATGCCCCTGCCACCTCCTCCCAGCCCGCCGCCCCCGGCTCCTCCCCCGCCCGGCTTCCCTCCCCCGCCCGTGTACCCCGGCTCCACCTGCACCGCCTGCGTCTTCCTCAACCTGAACGCCGTCGCGCCTGGAAACGGCAACAGCAACACGCGCTTCCTGCCCGCCCAGTGCGGCCTCTACGCCATGCGTATCATCGCCGACATCAACGCCGCAGGTGCGGCGCTGGCTGAGCCCTTCTCCCTGTCTGGGTGCTCCGACAACCTTTTGAAGGTCTGCGGCGCCTTCACCTCCGCTGACGAGGCCGCCAAGCTGAAGACTGCGAGCCTTGTGCAGCAGTGGGTGAAGCTGGTGCGGGGCCCGGCGCCCGTGTGCCCAGGTTACCTAAAGGGGTTCACCGTGTCGGCTTACCTGGGTGGCCAGGGCAGCTGCCTGAGCGCCTCGGATGCGGCGTCCTGCTAAGAGGTTGCTGAGGGGGTGCTTTGCTTTTTGCAGCATGCGTAGGGTTGCATGGGTAGGAAGAAGTGACGAAGGATGGTAGAAGTAGGTTGATGTGGATGCTGGGACTGGGACTGGATGGTGGTGTTGGCGGTTGAAGAGTTGAAGGGAGGATTGGTTGTATAGTTGGTAGTCTTTGGCGTACAGAGCTAGAAGAATGTGGAGAGGAGGAGAAATGGTCGCTGGGTGCCCTGCTGTTGTCACATTGCACCGGGACAGCACCCTTTTGGTGGTAGTTTCGTGATGTTAGGCATCATCGTCATCGTCAACACGTAATTCTTTTGCGTTCGTAGCTCATGGTACCTATTCCTCGTGGGCTTTAGGAAGTCTGTTGTGGTCCTGCATAAAGTGTGATGTTCAGCAGGTGACCTCCCGTCGCAAGGGGCAGGCACGTACGGAAGCCCTCAGGCCGGTTCAAGATCCTGCTGAAGTCGTGATTTATTGCTGCGGTCGCGTGCTTTGTTCCTGGAACGCTAGTAGGTTGCAACACCCTATGCGTGCTGCTGCTGCTATTTATGCGCACGATTTGCTGGTCTTCTAACGAGCTATGCGGGGGCAGTTGTAGCTAGACCTGGGGTGTGATTCATAACTATCTGAGTAGTGCCATTAGCGTGTGAGAGCCGGTGGTACGCACCCATGTGGGTTGTGCGAGAGGACCACATACAATGGGCAGGATGTGCATAGCCTATGGGGTTCCCGCCAGGTGCTTTCACTTAACATATAGCTGCGCTTACCTTGAATAAGGTGAAATGCTAGAGTTTACCTAGTATGTAAGTGAAGACGTGCGTGCCGACGCGTGTGGCTAGGAGTCGACCCGGCTATCAAACGCGGGAATCCTTACGGCCGCATCATGGCCCTGCCGTCTTCATGACGTGAATTGTAAGTGTTAACTTAGAGCCCTCGTCCAGTCCTTCGTCAACCGAAACGTACTTGCCAACGGTCGACATTCGTACTGTACCCATCTTAGCTTTCAACGCTCTGCATTATCTATGCAAGCGAACGAAGCAACACGAAATGGTCGCGCATCCCTAACTTGATGCTTGCATAGGTCACAAAACTCAACATTGCCAAGTTAAGTGGAAGATACTTCATAAGCTAGCAAGTGGCAGCCTTACAAGTAATTACATATAAGGGTGAAGTAACGTGTAATACATGGCTCTCTTATACTTTCCGCCCAATAACGGTTGGGCTCGGCAAGCTGCGACCACAATTGCGACGCCGCCGGACCTCCGAAGTATCCCGCTGTATCCGCTGCGCATACAAAAATGTCGGACAACTAGCCTGACAATTGAGCCGAATTGCGTCCGCGACGCCAGCCTGTCCCATAGGCACCATCCTCAGTACATCCGTTGCAATGCAGCTACCAGCCTTAGCGAAGTGCCCAGACATGACGCACACAATGCTGTTGGAGCAAGCGCCGACCCGGTGGCTGCGTGCCTAAAGGAGTGGGTTGTAAAGCACAGCGGCCCTCTACCCACTGAGGCCTGCCCTGTACGCACCGCAAGGTGCGGTACAATGAGAGACTGAGGTTGCCGTACATTAGATGCACTCCAATCGGCCTTTCCCTCCACATCTAGAACTAATCCTCTATTCCACCTCCCATTCAAGCAACCTGCTTACCTTACGTTACCCACCGTTATAACCGCCCAGCAGGGGCTCGTACGTCCTGGTTTCGGAGCAGCCCGTTCTCGCCGCGGTCAAAACGCTCGTCCTAGTGCCACGTCAGCTCTTCTAACGCCGTACACAGGCGGCAGCCAGCCCGTGTACGGCCACATCGTACGACAGGCCGGTTTGACGAGTGGCGTGCCATGCTGCTGCAGCTGCTCTGCGAGAGGGCTTTGGGGCGCTGACAGTTTTTTGGGCCCCATACCTGGCTAGCCTACCCGAGGACATGGTGGGTTGTACAGTTACGGTTACAGTTACAGTTACGGTTACAGTTACAGTTACAGTCTATACGCATGTACATTGTGTTTTAGGAGCGGTGGGGGCAAGGACATGGCGGGTTGCTTAGTGACGTGAACATGTGCTCACGGGAAGTACTTCGCGTTGCACTGTGACATGTGTTTCACAGTGCCACGCGTACTACCTTGGCGCCCCTGCTTTCGTTGTCGGCATCTACGCCACAGCTCAGATCTGGATTGTCTCAACCCAACCCTCTTCGCATCCACATAAACCGCTACCTCAGTCCGACCACCCGCCTGCTGTGGGGCCCCGAGCGGTTGGCCTGGTTGTACGGCAGTCCCCTGGCGGCGGCGCTAGCTGTACGGCAGCTGCAGCTGGCGGAGGACTGTACGGCACTCAGGGCGGCGGGGGCGGAGTCGCTACCGCTGGCGGAGCAGTGGGCGGCGAGCACCGGGGTGCGTACGGCATGCGAGGGA